AGCACATTGGTTTTCGAATGTTTTACATTAGGTATTGTAAGTTTAATACATTTTGTGTCATTGCTGTTTAAGAGCAAATTGTTGGCGTTAAAACAATGTACTAATTTAGAGCATTATTTACAGCGTCATTATTGACTGCCGTTTGAGTTTGAAAATTAAAGAGGTATCGTCAGCAAATAATACTATATCTTTATTGTCCCCTACAAGATAAGGTAATTCATTAATATAGATTTAGAACAGAAATGGGCCAAGAACCGAGCCCTGAGGTACGACCATTGATACTACCGATCCGGAGGAACCTTTACCATTGATCACGACTTTTTGAGTTCTGTTACTTAAATATGAAGTAATAAGTCTAAGCGCCAAATTTTTTACACCATAATATTGTAGTTTCCTGATTAATGTCTCAGGATGAACACAATCGAAAGCCTTGGAAAGGTCACAGAAAATACCTAAGGCATCCTGTAAATTCTCCCAAGCACCAAAAATATATTAGATAAGCTCAACACCAGCGTCACACGTCGAGCGACCCCTTGTAACACCAAATTGGTTTTTATGAAGTAATATATTTGTATTAAAAAAAAGTTAACAATTGATCCAAAATTATTTTTTCAAAAATTTTACTGAGAGTTGGTAGTACAGAAATAGGTCTATAATTAGCGGGGTCCAATGTGCTACCAGATTTAAATAAAGATATTACTTTACTATACTTCATTAAATCAGGAAACACACCAGAATCGATACAAGTATTAAAAATAATAGCAAGATGAGGTGCAATTAAATCTATTATGGACGCAATCACTGTAACGGAAATCCCCCACAAATCTGCGGTTTTCTTTACATCAATGGTTTTGAAGTATTTTACAATATTATGTGGTGATACTTTTTCAAATCTAAATTCTTTTAAACACGTATTAACATTCTGTTTAAGTAATGACTCGGCGACAGTCGGAGAAGTATTCAATGACTGTGTTGTCAAGATAGGAACATCAATGAACTATTTCTCAAACACTGCTGCAACTTCTTGATTTGATTTAGTCAATTCATTATTAATTTTTAATTGATAGTTTGAGTTACGAGGTTTCCCTTTACCGGTTTCGCTGTTAATTATACTCCACGGCATTTTAATTTTTTTTAGGTATTCTATTCTATGAATGTCCTCGTATCGTATTTATTTACCTTGTAGCCCATTTACAGGTTTTTATTAGACTTGAATGAATTTGATAATCCAAGTATCCAAAATTTGGTTCTCTCAAGCCGCAAAGGCAGTATCGTGTCATTACGTAGGTGTCGTAAGAGGCGACGGAGGGAAACTGAAACAGGAAATGGGTATCAATACAAAATAATAAACTCAGTGTCGTCGTAAGAGTCAATGTATGAGGGCGGCCTATGTTCAGTAGATCATCAGTAGTGGACTTTTGATCAGCTTATTAGCCTATATTATTATTATGATGATGATGATGTTAAAAGTCTTGATATTTGCTTTCAGTCAGTCACTCGTGTGTAAACTTTTGTAGACCGGCTAGGCAGCAGGCAGATATTATTTACTGATTGTTGCCATAATGTTAGTTTAAATAATTTTTGTAATATTCCATGATTTAAATTATTTATACAAATAATAACATAAGGATAACAAATATAATCGCATTTATGCAGAAAGTTAGAGCAACAAAAGGAAGCGACTGTAGCCTACTTGTTGAGGGTATGGACTGCGTAACTATAAAGACGTGGGTTCGAATCCGCCGAACCACTCTACGCACGAACATTTTAAGTTTACTAGAGTCAGCTAAGTATATAATAGTGATATATTTGTTTTCTTTTACACAAAAAGAGAACAAAACTTCAACCAATAAAGGCTACAGAAAGTCTAACAGATGTTAAACTCTTATTTAAGAAGAATTAGTTTAATTAGACTCCTAGTTAAAAAAAAGTGTTATCGACCACGACGAACCATTAAACCCTATCAAAAGTCCACGGCTGAACATAAGCCCCCTCCCCCATAAATTGCCATATAGTGTGGATATTTGTCAAAGTTGCCACGCTTAGCAGGCGGGATGGCAACTGCAGTTTTTTTTATTATTTTAGTTGTTATTAGGAAGACGCTGGATCGATTCTCCTAGCTTCTTTCCCTCTATCGCTTTTTACGATATCCACGGAACGATGTGGGCTAGTGGATATTCTTACACCGACACTACACGGTAAACTTATTGACAAACGCATATAAATCATATTTCTTTTATAGGATACGGTGACAAACGAGCACACAGTCCACCTGATGGTAAGTGTTTGCTGGGACCCATAGACATCTACATTCATCCTCAATAAAGAATCAAAATGCAGATGCGTCGTCATCCGTGAGGTTTAAAATGGATTGCCTCTTTTCCAGTAAAATGGGTCTCCGGTTCTCTACACGCACCATACGAAACACAACAGTATCAAGCTGCCATTTTACTCTGGTGTTCTATAAGAGCGTGGTCCTTCCTCGGTTGAGCCGACCCATTTGTGCTACAACTATACTAATAATATAGCTGCAGCATGGCTCTCTCAGCACTTACTAAAGTGAATAAGTTATTCAAATCAAACAACGCGTTACACACTCGTATGTACATTAATTTCTGTTGACATGTCGATCTAGAATCTTATTCAGTTAAAATAAAATATCCTTGTTTTCATGTTGTTGCAAACTTGCACATACATATTTCAATAATGTAGTTACAATTACATAACTTATTGATTTAATTGAGGAAACAATTTCACTCTGAAATCCAACAAACAACCTGAACTAGTATGCTTGAGGAATTCAAGTCCATTGTCATACAATACTATGGCGCCTTGCGTAAGTCGTCGCAGGCAGTCTGCAGTTGCATAACCATTTTTGGGTCAGGTATTCGTTCGAAATGGTAACGCCAATCGACTTCCTCGGGACCTGCTCCCTCGTACTGCCGAAGTAGGAACGAAACGTTTCTTTAAAACGTTATTGTTAAGAAGCACATTACGTAAAAGGAATTCCAAGGAAATACTTGGTAAAATAAGACTGCCGAGGATTTCGATTGCATTTTAGATTAAGGTTCATCACAGTCAAATATTAGGAAGTTTAGTTAGTTCAAGAAACAATGTTTTACACTTATTCATAAATTCATATAAATAATTCAATTCTCCCGCTAAATTTAGTTATTTACTAGCTGACCAGGCAGACGTTGTTCTGCCCTTTTCGACGACCCTTCATAGAAAAATCCTTAAATAGGTACTTAATAAAAAAATATTGAGTGTCACTTATCAGGATAAAAACTATCCTATCTCTCAAGTTGGACCAAACTGCACAGAGTGTGCAAATTACATTAAAATCAATTCAGCAGTTTAGGAGTTCATCGCGGACAAACAATGTGACACGTAATTTTTATATATAAAGATTAATACTTTTATTCACAAAGAAGCATATGGAGGATTTAATAACAAAATGTCTTCCCTTGTAGTTAACCTTAACATAGTAAAACAGAACACTAATACAATGAAATCGATATCTGTCTGGTACAGAATTTTGTCTACAAGAGTTTCACGTAGATGAGAAATTTTGTAAAGTTATAAAACGCGATTACTTGTTAAATAAAAGCTAGAGCTTGTCTACGATTTAACCTTGCGACAGTAATGAGTGGTAAAATACACAAGCAAAATAAAAGTCAGTTCACTTTTTAACCGCTTTAAAAAACGGGAGGTTTTCAATTAGACCGTATTTTTTATGTTTTTTACCTCAGAACTTTTTCTAGGTAAACCGACTTTGATGATTTTTTTATTTGAAAGCTGGTGTTTCTCATGTGGTCCCACATAAATTTGATCACGATCTGACCAGTAGTTTTTGAGTTATCCTTAATAATGCGTATATAATTGACTTCGACTACATTCATGATGTTTTCTATTTTTATTTATATTGAAGTCGGTAGTACACAATTTTTAATTTTACCACTTGAGATATTATTATAAAAATCACTGGTAATTTAATTTAATTTGTTTCAAATACCAAACAACGGTGATCGTATCGCCGTGTTCCGGGTATATACTAGTGAAATTACTAGGTACATCGCCTATTCATCCGAAGGTCTCTAAGGTCGAGAGCATAAATAAAGCAAAAATGTCTATATCTATTTATAGTTTGTGTATGTTTTTAGAAATCAGTAACGTCTTTCCCAGACCTGAAATAAAAAAAAATAGAACAACTTACGTATATAAATGCTAGCTCTGAAAGAAGACATATAAGAAATAACACATAATATTATATAACTTACCTATACGTAACATAAAGTTACTAGCGTTTTTATCGAAGCTATTCTAACTTCAATAACTATTCATCAAAGGAGCGAGTACTCACATAATTCTTCGGGCACGTTCGTAGCGGCGCGGCGCGGCGTCCGAGAAGTAATTAGCTTTTTGAATACGTAGTTCCCTTTGATGGGCTGCCAGGATTCTCCACACTTCATTTTGTCGGTAGTCTGCTGCCGGCTATTGAAGCAACATGCCCTGTCATTGATGTTGATAACTATTTGTACTTTAGGATGAAAATTCCAGGAGTAATGCACGTCTCTTGAAGAGACTAATCAATACACGTAAGAGTCGCTTCTAGTAGAAAGTAGAGTGTAATGACCTTTTAATTGACGATTCATTTATTAATGTTAAAGGTGAGGTGTGAGGGCCAGCTGCAAATGATACGGTGTAGTGTATAGATGAAGTGTTTAGAACATATATTTACTAAGAGATTTGTTGATGAGAAACAAATGGCTTCCTAAATCTTTATAACATGAAATGTTTTAATTATTCGGAACTCTACCATTAAATTTTAAATCTGTATATATTATTTTATAAAAATAATTATTTTATAACCATTCTATTTACTCCATATTCTAAGTTCTACAAGACATTAATTCCTAATTTTTTTAGTTTAATTTTTAATATCTCATTAGAATTTAATTTAATAATTTCTTAAAATATTCCTATTTATTTTGTTACAGCGGTGGTTGTGCGTTATCTAACAAAACGGTACATCGGCGAATACAGTTCTACAGGGGGTGAGTTCGCAATTTATCAATAATTTAATTTTCATTTAAGTATGTGTATATAGGCTATTATATAATATTATACATCTTTATATATAAAAATTACATGTCACATTGTTTGTCTGCGATGAACTCATAAACTATTGAACTGATTTCAGTGAAATTTTGCATACTGTGTTCAGTTTGGTCCAACTTGAGAGATAGGATAATTTTTATCCTTATAAATGCCCTTCAATATTTTTTTATTGCGAATTTAAGGACTTTTTCATAGGAAGGGTCGTCGGAAAGGGCAGAACAACGTCTGCCTGGCCAGCTAGTATTATTGTATATTTCAATCCAGCGGTATCCTGCTCGAAAGTTGATTCTGTTTACGAGTCCTTTTGATTTAAAAAGACATTGACATTTAAGAAGTATGCGCTAAGACATTGTGTCGTTTTGTGTGGACTAAGGAATATAACAATCTCAATGTCGTCTAAATAGTTATATTTAAAACTTTATCCCCTATTTTACCACCCTTAGGAATGGATTTTCTTTGGAATTTAAATAGGACTTAAATAATGATTTCTTATATATACGCGGACACACATTTAAATACGCGTTAATATACGCGATAAAATCCGTAAAAACTAGTTTTATTTAGAATGTTGTAAATAGCTCACCCAAGTAAAAGTTTCATTAAAAACTGTTCATAATTGCCGAAGATAGCGCGTAACATATAAAAAATAAAGTCCAATTGTAAACGTCCACCTTTTAATGAAGTCGGATAAAAATGGTTTCCGGGTCTCTTCACTCAGCATACGAAACACAGCAGCATTATGCTGCTGTTTTACGCTGGTACTCTTTGCGGCCGTAGTCGTATCCCGGTTGACCCGACCTATTCGTACTGCAGCCAAAATACGCTGCAGTGTTGCTTTACCAAGTTGGATAATTTAAAAGTACCATATTAGTCTATCTACTTTTACCCCAAGCACTAATGCTTCCAATGCTGGGTTCCGATTTCAAGGGTATACTCTTAATACAGGCCAGTATAATACAGGCAATAGATTTCATTTGAGTCTGCAGAGCACATACACCCTTCTTTGTTGCAGGTATCTATGGGCTACTTACCACCAGGTAGATTGTTAGTACGATTGTCTCTAATAATATAATAAAAAAATGTTACCCTATCTTTTACTTAAGTATAGTAAGATGTTAACAAAAGGAAAAGGTCAAATGGAGGAATAGATGTGAAGATACCGTCTTACGTTCCACATCTCATGAAGTATATTTTGACTTGTTAAAATTTTTTAAAGGATATACAAGAATTACATTGCAGATCGCACACCGGTTCGCAAGATACTAGCTTTTTTATGATATTTTATATCTACGTTATTCTCGTCTATTATCGGGCGCCCAGCGAAACGAGCGGATAATCTGCTAGTAAACGTTTACGGTTCGATTACCGGACAAAGATTCTATTAATACAGTTTTACTCATAGTTAAAATAAAATAAACATGTATTTAAAATTTGCTGTCTTTGATATTTATATTACTTTTTCGCAAGAGCCTGTTCATTTACTCATGTCAGCAATGAAACCGGGACTCACACAAAAATCTTAATAGTTAGGTATGTCTGAAAAGATATCTTAATATATTATAGGTCTTAATATATTATGACAAACTGTTTTGTAAGTCTCATTAAAAGTAAAAAAGTAAAGAAGCAGCTTACATACGTCTTACGACTGTGCACAGGTCGGCTAATTAACCATGTGTAAAAGAGCAGTTTCACATGTTCACGATTTTTTTAAAACTACTCAGACATCAAGGCTTCGCCGTCAAGTTATTCTTTACCATTTCACTGAGCACGTGGAAAATAAGCAATAAAATTTCCTTACCCTTTTCATTGGTCCTCGCGGGAATCCGAACCCTTTTATTCCTGTGCTTTGTGAAATCTTACGGCGAGCTACACGGCTCTCATATTTGCTTAAATAAAACTCATAAAAACTGAAAAGAAGCCTTTGCACGACCCCATCTACCTAGTAATTAGTCATTCAAACTATTCCATAATTTAGAGATGAAAATCTCTTACATCGGACTTGATACAAAAAGAAGTTGGCGAAATATTGCCATGTTGATAGACACCCAACATATTCAACTAAAGACATTATGTCTTAATTACAGTTGTGTGTACACAGTTTTGTTAGTCATTTTGCTAAAAGTGACAATTATGATAAATCATCCCTACCCTACACCGGTCTCGATATTTTAAATCTGACAGTTTTTGATGCTGGAACAATAAGTATTCAACAGAATTATCTTTAATTTAATCAGTTACTTATTATTAGTTTATTTAGCAGTAAGTAGATGGCGCTATTATGAGATTAAAACTATGAAAATAAAAACTGTGCCCTCTAGTAGATACTCAACGACAATAAGTTGAGGTAAAGACTGGGGTGGCCCAATCACACAACAAAGCCGCTAACATATCGCATACTTAGATTTAAACGGAGACAAGTCAAAGTCAAAAATCGCTTATTTTGACACATCCTTATATTCGAATGCTTGGTAATCATACGCAACTATCCAGCATAACAGGGTCAAGTAAAGATTAAATGTGTCGTCGATAGACGGCGTTAGCTTTGTTCTGTTGAACCAACGCATGTCAGGCCCCTCCCACCTAAACAAGTGTATTGTCAGTTGGCCACAGAGTACATTATATGCAGTTGGCCTTCGCTAGTTCTATAGAGTGCACGTATTTACGTAAACGAAAACGAGGATATCTTGAGTTATTACGATTTTGATGAAAAATATATGCAAGTTAATTTGAGTAGTTACAGTATTGGTAAATTGTTCTGCCATATTACTTCAGAATATTTTGATTTGTTCTACTTTTGCTTAATAAGGTACCTACATAATTTTGTTTTATTTTGACTTGATCTTGTATTGATGGATCAACGTGTAAATTTCTAGTTAACCTGCTTTTATTGAAATAAATTTATTTTAATGTTTCTCGTTTCGCAAAAATCATTGTTTACAGTGTTATAGTGCCTGTTTAAAAAAAAAAAAAAACGATTTTTCATCAAATTATCTACCGCGCTGTTTTTTGAAAGAGTTTTTGAGTTAACTCACTATTGTTTGATTTTTTAAATTTACAATAGCCACTTAATTTATTTTCAGAGAAAAATGAGTCGAACCGTTTTCTTGTTAATATTATTAAAGAACAGTGTAAAGAAAAACTTTTACGAGTAACAGACAATGAACAAGAGTTAGCAATGGCTATTAGTGTAGAAACACATTATAATAAAGAAAATCGTTCTTTAAATACTGCCGTACTAGCCAAACCATACCAGCAAATTGAAAATGATCTTCTTGTTTCGCCAAGTGAAGAAAGTTTAATAGATGACTCTGATACTGATCGAAGCTATGTCCGGCAAAAAAGAAGAAACTACCCCCTAAAGTCATTCATAACTCATCTACGTCTTCTTCAAGTAGCTTATCTACAGATTCTCGACGGCTCCGTGGTGCAGTGGCTTAGCAATCAGTTGGCTTAGGATCGAATCCCGCACGGAACAATTATTTGTATGGCCTACATATAATTATTCCGGGTCTGGATGTTTGTCCTTGTGCAATTTATGTTTTTAAACTGCCTCCACGACACAGGAGAAAATCCTAGTGTGGGGGTAACGTTTTTAAAATAAAAAAATAAATAAAAAATTCTAGCAGTATTTCTGATTCTGAAACTGAAACCAGGGCTATTCTTGATACTGCCACACTAACTCAAAGTCAAGGCGTTGTCAATGAAGATCAAAATGACCAGCATGTTGAAGAAGTAAAGAGAGGAAAGAAGAGGCTAAGAAGAGAATCCTCATGGAAAGCTAATATTTTTAAAGGTTTGAGGAATTCTGGTAAGGCCTATCAATCTTTGTCAAAAACAAAAAAAAAACGTTTCCGGAAGGAAGGTTTGCGGCGAAAAATGCAGACTACGTTGACATAAAAAGATAAACGAAGAGACAAGACAAAACATACTCAATGCTTATTAGGGCCTTGCTGATCTTCAAAGACAAAGGGAGTATATAGTCAGGCATACTTAAGAAATTAAACCAAAGTACAGGTATTCTAGCAGAATTAATAGAGTATGTAAGACTTTCTCTAAGGCTACCCCTGATTTGAGTAATACTACTAGCCATTACTACTGCACTCTCTAAGAAAAATAATGCTGGGATTGTTGTCAATGATTTTACAGGAAACATGGTAAACATTCAAAGATTGATGCAAAAATTAAGGATAGTCTTGTGGAGTTTATTAATAGTATCCCAAGGATTGAGTCTCATTACTTGAGAGCGCAAACATCACGAGAATTTATTTGCAGCGACAAATCTCTTGCCGACCCTTTATCGCGATTATAAAGAAACTCGTGCAAACAAAAAGTTATCTTTAGCTACGAAGTTAACTTTTAACCAGATATTCGGTACGGAATTTAATATTCCTTTTTTGTCCCAAAAAAAAGATCTTTGTGTCCTTTGCGAGAGCTTTAAAAACGCCAATAAAAAAGAGAAATTAAAAATACAAGAGAGTTATGAACAACACTTTTTAGAAAAAAAGTTAGCAAGAGATCACAAAGAAAAAGACAAGAACAGAAATGACGGAGTGATTGTAGGTGTATACGATTTACAAGCTGTTATGCAAGTTCCAAAGGGTCAAGTCTCAGTATTTTTCATTAAATCTAGAATTAATTGCTTTAACTTTACAATAAGTGATCTCAGGGCAAAAGACGTAACATACTATTTTTGGCATTAGACGGAAGGGAAAAGGGGCGCTGTAGAAATTCCTTATTTATGTGTGATTGATGTAACCCTGTTCCAGTGTCATCGAAAGACAAATAAAAAGGCATAATAAGTCTGGTCCGATATACACCCCGCAACAGTATAGCATTGATTCAAAATACAGCAAAAATGTCGGGCAGTCCTTACCAATTTGAAGCCATGAACAGTTTTATGACACTAAAATCTTGCAAGAAGAGTGGGGAAATGTAG